TTGAACTCGGCTAATTACAATATTAAATTTTTTAGTTATCAATTAATGATTATATTTATTTAATAAGGGTTATATAATAATTTAATAATAATAGTCAATTAAGCTTCAACTATTAATGCTAAATTAATACTTAGTGAGTGATATTGATATTCTATTTTTAACACAGAATTTGATTGCAAGCTGACATAGTGAAAATATAATTTATATGTTATAATCTAATCTAATATTTAAATTAGTATTCATTTAATAAATATTTAGACAGTCTTATTAATTTTTAAATAAAAAAATTAAATCTATATATTACTTAATAGAATTATAAAAGAAATTGCAGGGGGCAATCAAAAAAATTTATTTTTAGTTCAAGGGGTTAAGATTCCATTTAAAAAAATTTTTTGCTTCAGGGGGCTATTCAAATTTTTCAGAGGGCTAGAGCCCCTGCGCCTTCCCCCTCTAGTGACGCCACTAATATCCGTATGATATGGCTTTACAAATTGATCGTGAATTCTTATTAGTTTATCAATATCATTATTTTACAATATATGTATTCATGTTGATAATATATAAAAATTTATTTCCCTATAGAAAAGATTGAATCCGTACCAGAGTTAAACCAGGCCGTTCCTTTTTTTACTTCAGCCTTATAGATAAGCGCAAAATCATATTTATAGGTGACCATGGAGATAATTTGGACAGGGATATTCAAAGGCATCATTCTAAAGAATATAAATCCCGAACTATAAAAAATTAAAGCTTTGAGCCATCAATAACGAAACTAGTCATTAGAAAATATATTAATGCACTTTCAAATAATATATTCAAAAATTGATTATGATTTTTGTATATTCTTTATAAAATAAATTAATTTTTTTTCAATTTTATAAATAAACAATATTTCAACAAGTGAAATTTTAATAAATAATATTCATAATTAAAATCATATACGATAGTGCTGCTTTAATAAAAATCAGAGACCTGCAGAAGGGCCATTTACACGTTGCGGTGTAGCGTTGTAGAATAACTGCGGTTCACAAATTCGCACATTTGACGTTTTGCAAAATTTATATTTTAAAGGTATTTATATTTAAAGTCAAATATATAGATTTGTATCTTTAGGAACCAATATAGCCACCCTAAAAGATTTGGAAATCAAGATTTAAACAATTAGTATGTAATATAAATAAAAAAAATATTAGTATAATCTTTTTTTGAACTGGAAGGTAATTATCATGACATAAATTTATTAAGTGGGAAAGAGCTAACTTTAAACGAGAACTTTAAGATTTAACCTGATTAATGATATTCTACAGAAGGTTAAACTATTTCTATGTAATTTTTATATTATATAAATTTTAGAAAAATTGTCATCATGAAATGAGAAGAAAAAAAGGATATATATAGGTGTCAACAAACTTTATACAATAATATCTAAAAGGCTAACTATCATATATTTAAGGATTAACTAATTACATAACCTAAAATATAATTGATCATTCTCAAATTGGTTTCCTGTCTAATCTAACCGTAATCAGATTTAAAGTAGATTCACATCTGCCAGATTTTCAGTAATTTATACTTAAGGATTCTTAGGTCCCCAAGGCTACCATAGGTTTATATTTTTTGACTCTCTATTAAAATTAAACAATCAGTCAAAAATATCCGGGTTGTATAAAGTAAAGTGGTTCAAAAGATAACGAGTAACTTTTTTGAATAAAGGTTACTCAAAACATTACTCGTTACTTAAAATTTTTTCTTAAAAATATGGAATATTTTTTATAAATTATATAAATATTAAGCCAAGTTTTTATTTCATATCAATTACCAAAATTTATTATTTTTATTTTATGTTACATTTCTGTGCTTAATTTTTTACAGTCAAGATTGTTGTTAATTTATATTCTCCAATATTGTAATTTATTTATAAAGGATATATGTTAATAATACTTATTTCTTCAGATGAAGATGATTTAACTCTGCCCTAACCCCATTATGAAACATTTTTTACACCAATTAAGAAAATCAAGGGCACTAACATTTGTAAGTGTAGGTTGTGCCCTAACCTCGATTTCTAACAGCTCAAATCTAAAAAAAACATATAAAGATAAAAACATGAATTCAGAATGTATTCTTATATAAATATTATAAAAATGGATGAGGATATAATTATTTTTGTGAAGGTGATCTAATAAGTTTTCCTAAAAATAAAGATGATTTTTCAGATTTTTTTATATAAATGTGCTCGAAACCATATATGGAAATAATAAAATTTTAATGAATAATGTTATGAAAAGAATTGGAAAACATTATCACAAACTTTCAAACTACCAATCGGATCTTGTAAAGGAACTATTAAACAGTTGAATTTCTATCTTCACAAAAAAGGCCAACATTGAAGGCATTATTTTTAAGAAGTAAAATGGAAAGCATTTAGTAGCAAATGATTACTTCACTTAAGGAAATATATTTAAAAACTTGCCTTAGAATTTCCTGTTTGCGATCTACAAGCAATATTTTAATTTACTTTTTTATTTCAAAAATTATCAAGGTCTTGACTACTTTTCAAGACTTATTTCAAAATAAAAAATTGTGGTAAAACAGTAAGTATTTATTGATAAACATTTTATTATAGAGCATGATGATATTAGATTAGTAAATATAGAGATTAAAAAACATAAGGAAATATCAAGTACAAATTATTTGACAAACTTAGCAATAAACATTCTACAATACAACAAGCACAAATTATGATCCCACTTTAAATGACTTAAAACCATGTTCTAAATTTTTTGGGAGAAAATTTCCGAAGTTTTTCATGCTAGCCAAAAAATAAACTTTGTGTTGGGGCAACTAGCACACTTAGTGAAAAAGTTTTCTCTACCGCTGGGTTGACGTTGAATTCAAGGAGATTATCCTTATGTCCGGCAAATTTAAATAAAATAGTTTTTATATGATATCTATAAAATTAGAATCGAGCTTTTTTAATTCGTTTTATTTTCGAAAAAGATGTAAATATAGATATTCTTTAATGTATTTTATGTTTTCTTAAAAAAATTCAATTATAAATTTAAAATTTACATATTTATTAAAAAATATGTAAGTGTGCTAATTTTGACGGCGGCTAAAACGCGGTGCGCCAATGGCTGCCGATTAGATTTATAAAACTTACACCAACCACCGATAGTTTCATCGGTGCACAGGTCTAGTCATGGCCCAGATTTTATAAAAGCATATATTATATGAAAAAATTTCAAGCTCAAAATATTTATTTTATTCTCTACTATAATGTTAAGCATTCATTTTAAATATTTAGTGATAACTTTAATAATGATTATCTATTTCAATCTATTTATTACAAAATATATTTCCCCTTTTCTTATTTTTTGAAAACATCTCTTAGCTATAAGCTATAAAATTCATTTATAATAAATTGTTTCAATCATGCAAAAACGAAAGAATATGATGAAAATATACTATTAATATTTTCTTGAATTTGATTGATGCCTACTGCAAGCCATTTTGACCGACCTTGCAGGACCATATAAGGTGGTATTAATCCAAATTATAAATATTTTATTTTTTTTCTTTTTTCGCTTTCATCTTTTTGGATGGTAAATGCAATTTCTTTTCCCAATTTAAGTTATTCATGCAATCCTTTTTATTTAATTTATATTTGGCAATGTTGCCCTATACTTTATGGATCAATCGAGGTTTTGTGGCCTATCTACTTTTTAACTAAAAAAAAAATTTCCGACATATATTCAGGCAACCTCATTATATGCCAAATACCATCTTCGTCTATTTACTATGTTGCTTTTATGACCTTTAAATCTTCCTAGTAATTTATATTTCGTGTCTAATCCCTTTTAGTTACCCCAGTCATATTTTTATAATAATTATCACTATTCTGTAGGTAACCCTATTCAAAAATGTTGATTATTTTAAATGGATTGAGTAACTTACTATTTGTAACTATACAAATTGTATAAAATGGAACATTTTTTATATTTGTAAATCATATTTGTTTTTGAATAGGCTATAAGGTCTCTTGTCTGATTCTTTGCATGACCATGTTTATGAAGTATAAGTAATAATTGGATTAGTATCCCCAAAATTTGTGTGATATTCTTTTGACAAAGAGCATTCCGGAAAAATTTATCCATACTTGGTTCATTTCTTTTTCAATTGTGCCAAGAATCTGAAGTGGAACCCAAATGTCTGCAGAGTTCATTTGCCAGAAGTGTTATACATTTGTATTCATTCAATTTTTCTATTTTATCATTTTAGTTAATTCCGAGTTAGTATGTGATAGAAAATCTATTGCTGTTATAAAGCAGGGGACTGACAGTTGGACATTCATAAATTCCCTCAAAGTAAGCCTGAAAATCTAATTATGCATTAGACCATAGTAATATGATTCTTATACATATCCTGTATCATTATATCTTTCTAAAATATATTTGCTCTGAAAAGAAGTCCATTATATAAGTTTACCTGATAGCAAAAGAACTAAAAATTTGGGTCTAGTACCAGACATAAACCTGTATGCAATATATCTCTAATTTTACAAAATTATTCTTTTCAATAAATTTTGAACATAAATAATGCACTTTAAATTTTTTTATCTTGTGCATGGTCCAAAAAAATTTTTGGTTTACAAGTTTAGTCAAAGTTTTGAAAATGTTTAAAAACTGATAATTAAGCAATTATGTTGTTTTCTTTCATAGCAAATTATTATGGGCCAGGTTGGACAATTTTTACAAAATATGTTTACAGACTGGGCCCGGCAAAAAAAGCACAATAAAAAAATTTGTGTGGGCTGACTTATACCAAAAACAATGGAAATTAATATTTAAATAATTAAAATATCACCATATGAATCAAGATCTGTGTCAACATTATATATTTTTTTATTAAAAAAATATTATAAATTGACTATATATTTATAATTTGTTAAAATATATTAATAAAAAATAAACAATAACTAATAATTTCTAAGGTTACATTTATTAAATGTGTTCTTTTAGTTAACTGGTAAAATGAAAATTGTTTAGAAAATATTGTGAATTTTTGATTAACAAAATTCAAAGACGAGAGATTAATTGGAATAATTAAAATTTATTTTGATTTAGAAATTATAATCAGAGTAATAAAAACATGCATTCACATTAGGCTCCATTGTGTTTAAACCAAGTCATAAATAAATTAACAACATATATACTTGATTTAATGATAATTTAAAAGAAATATACAAAGTAATCTAATTAATGAAGTACATAAATGCCAAAATTCATGTAACGAAATTATTATTATACAATAGTATAAAATGAACATCAATTTAGATATTCTAAACTAATAAATTAAAATTATGCAATGCATATTAAATTCAGCTTTACAGAGTAATTCTTAATGAATATATTTTTTGAAAGAATCACATGTTGGTTTTAGGTTTCAAAAATTCTGATATTGAAGTACAATATTTTAAAATCTCACACCTAGCAGATTTAAAATTATTCAAACCAGAACCTTAAAGGGTAATATATACAATATAGTATGTGGGTGTAGTTAACAATGTAGTAAAACATTTCTTGCTTTGGCGTGTGTGAGTATGTGTGATTTAAGGTTGGTGGATTGAGCAAATTTTTTATCGCATTCATCGAATGGGCATACGTAAGGACGATCACCAGTGTGTATACGAACATGGGTACGAAGATTGAAGTCTAAAGAGAACCTTTTGCCGCAGCCTTCAAAGGTGCACTATTAGAGAGAAGGAAAGTTAAAAGAAAGTATTTATAAATTACTCAAATTAAGATAGTTTTAATATTAAAAATGTTTTAATATAGTAATTAATAATTCCATTCTATAAATTTCTATTAAATGAATCTTACAATTGTAAAATAATAAATTATAAATATTATGTTTAAAAAATAATAATAATGGGATTGTATAGAAATAAGTAATAGTTTTACATTAGATATAATAGTTTTTACATTAAATATAATAGTTTTTACATTAAATATAATAAGCAATATTCATAAATAATATCAATTTGATAAGACTATAAAAATAAAATTAAATATTACTTGAAATGGTTTTTCTCCAGTGTGAACTAATTGATGTCTTTTTAATTTGGAACTTTCAACAAAAGCTTTCCCACACTCAGCACAGACATGAACTCTTGGACCATGTGTGTGTAAATGTTTACGCATAGAAGAATTGTCCTTAAACATTTTATTGCAACCCTATTTAAATAACAATAATATTTCAATAAAAATATATATTACTTTATGTGGGCATGCTATTGTCTTGGGAATATCATCTATAGATAATTTTCTGGATTTACCTCTAAATTTTAAATATATTATTAATATAATGTTTAAATTAACTTAGCAAATTCTGCTAGCTGTTTAGGATCACTTAAATCCAACCCTGATATTTTTTTTCCAGACATATACTCAGCAAACTCTGTGTCTATGTCATTTTCATCTAATTTTTTCTCATCTAATCCTTAATGAAACTGTTTAAATGTAAAAATATAATAAATATTACCATTTGACCACATTGATACAGTAAATTCACCATCAAGAGTTTTAATTTGAACTTGTCGTTGTTCCCATTTTTTAGGAGATTTGTGTTGAAAATTAACGCCTAATTCATTAATATCATCAAGTATATTAAACTCATTTTTTATTTTGTCCAATTTTTTAAATTTTCTTGGTCTTTTATTATATAATAGATTAAAGTGCTCATGATTAGGAATATTAGTAAGAGACATAGTCACATTTTCATATGCTAAACTTTCTGAAATATCGCCCACTATTTCTTCACGAGGTTGTAGCATAATTTCTTCATTAACATCAGAAAGACTTTTAAATGATATAATACTGGATGATATATTATCAAATGATGAATTCATTGGAACTTCAACTGGTAAACTATCGATCTCCACCTCCTGTAACTCCGGATGAATATCAACATCAGAACTAACTATGGACGCCATTTTTTTCCATTAATTTTAGGATAGATGTGATACCAGCAAATGTTATTTATAATTATTGATTAGTAGTGCTACATAGCAGCGTAAATGTAAATCTATAAGAGTTTCTTTAATTTAGAGATTTATTTCCATTTTTTTATTTTTTTAAATTAAAAAAGAAAAGTGTATAAAATCTTTTCTTATAATTTCCACAATTAATATATAAAAAATGAAAGATAGAATAAACATAATTTGAATATAACAAAATAAAAATAAGAAAATTATTAAGGCAACAAAAATAATATTCTTATTGTAATAAAAATAAAAGGTTTAACATTTTATAAGGGCAAAATATAGAATCTTTAATATTTAGATAATAATTTAACTCAGTCAGTTTTTTTTTTATAGATTTTAGTAAAAGGTCCAAACCATTCTGCCATCTATAAGCAAAATTTCCAGAATTACATAATATTATTTTGACTAAAATATACAGCAATAATATACGAAATGGTGTCAATACCCCTTTTAAACTCTTTCAAATCATGGGGACATTTATTACTTTCACTAAAGTAATCAATATATTCCCCCATTACATTTAGTGCGAGATCCACATGGAGCTTCAATTAGAAACAAAATCGTTTAATTAGCTTTTCTTCACAAATATGAGGCTATTCTGGTCAATTATTTTATTTATGAATATATTATATCAGATATGATATAATATATTCATATAAAACAGTATAATTTAATATAGTATTTGTAAGTACTAGATATTTTAAAATTAGCATCTATTAACTTATTTTGCATATTGTTTATTAAGGCATTAATGAATTGATTTTTATTGATACCAGCAGCGTCTAGATGAGTGGGATGGGTAGGAACAGTTTACATCCTATTTTTTGAAGGGGGGTAGGGGGTAGACTGCTTTAGTGGGGGTAAGATATATTTTTTGGGGGGCTATCTATTAAATTTTTAGATGAAATAGAACAAAATTTATTGCTGTAAAATTTAATACTTTTATCATTATTATAATACAATTCATCGACCAAATCTATATATTGCAAACAATCATACACATTGTTTTCCAAATAAAACTTTCTGCTATCCTTTTAAATGTAATTTAAAAGGTTTAGTTATTTCAGCAAGCTCATTGCCATAATAATTAATTCATTGTAAATAATGGGGGTTTTAATTGAATTTATTTATTCTAAAATATAAATATATTCACATAATATAGATAGTTGGTAGTAGAGATAGATTAATTTAAGTTATCCTTTATAAATTCTCTGAAAAGATTATCAAAAAATTAAAAAGGTAAAAATAATAATCGGGAATTTTTTAGAGGGGGGTAGGCAAAGATTTTAGAAGGGGTTTGCATCCAGGGAAAATCCTGTCATATAGACGCTGGATACCAGAGTCTCTTCTATTTCCTTCAATATTAATAATTTAAATTTATTTATTTCCCTAGCTTTTGAGCTCTTTTTATATGTTTTCCTTCAGAAATACTAAATAATTCCTCATTTAAAAATTATAAACCAGATTATTAAGAAATTGGGGTAAGCAGCGTGAAGGGGGTGTGGGCAAAGCAAAATATGCCGAAGCCAGAAATATTTAAATATTTTTTAAATATATTATTGCTTTATATTAACTTGTATTTTATTATACATTCTTATTTTTTATTAAATATATTTTTAATTATATTTATTTATCACATTCATCTACTAAATTATTCTATGAATTAATTCCGATTTCAAATTTTCCATGATATAATATTTATCTATCATTTCTAAATTTTCCGTTAATGATTCCACATTTTTGGCTTTTAAATATAGATATAAGGAAATTTTTTACACAATATTGATGATGATGACATTCAGGATCCTAGTCTTACAAAAAATCAAAAATGTAAAGAAGATCATTCTTAAAATATTTTATTTTACTTACTTTCGTTTTTAAAATCTCATCTCTAATTAATGCTAATAATGGAGCTACAAATAAAGAAGATTAATGATATATACTTATATGGAAGTCAGGATAGAGTCATTAAAAGATTAGCTAAACTAAATAATAGATGGTGATCAATTTTATTTCATTGGTAAACTTATTTATGTGGTGTTATATTATTGATAATATTTTATAAATTTCACAATTTATAGAAAACTAGAGCACATATCCATAAGATTTTTAAATAAATATACTATATTAGCTTTAGAAGGAGCATTACTTCTTAAAAAGGTATTAAAATGTATGATAAGTGTTTATTCAATAATAATAGATTTATATTCTACCCCCTAATTATCATTATCCACAAACTATTTGTGATAATAGAAATTAAAAATTTTAAAATCGCTATACAAGATGGTTGTGGCTTGCAAACTCTATTCGAGATAATAGAGCATATCGCAAAGATACGTGTCTTATTTTGCCCAAAATATGCTGAAAATTTTTTTAATTATCCTTAACACTCTTTTAAAACTCTATTCAATAGGTACAAAGATGCAGGGGAAATATTTGACAAGACAACCATCAAAAAGTAAATTATCATAAGTTATAAACTCGTGATTTCCATAAAAGAATTAATTCAAAACTTGGATATGATTCCCATCTTATCACATATTGATCACAAGAAAATAGATGTAAAATAAAAATAACCATTGAGGTAATCCTGTATAAGATTGCAGGGCTATAATCACGTAGTCATTTTGATCCAGTAATTAAATTTCGATAATAATAATCAAGATATTTTTTTGTTCCTGTAAAATTTAAAGATCAGGGGATACTGCATTAATGGAGAGGCTTAATAGCAGCAATATCGCGTTGAGAAATATATATATACATTTAAATTTTCAATTAATTCATTTAAGCAAAGGTTTTATACATTTATAATGCAAACAAGAGAATTGACACAAAATATAGTAATATATTTTTGTTTTTATAAAATTACATTTTTATTTTATACAAAATAAAAAAACTGGAAAATCAAATGGAGAAATATAATATTATTGTCCAAAATAAAATTCAGGGGGAGATAGTTCTAAGGACATCCAAAATGTTCAAGGGTTTGAATGGTACACTATGCCAGTATCAGGTTAATATGTTGGTAATATATTTGATAAATATTTTTATTTAGGCATATATCAAAGAAATTCAAAGAAATTTTTGTAATGCTCCCCCAATTACTACACATGACAGATATACCTTTTCCCTTTTAGTTTTAGGCGAATGTTGCCCTAGTCCTTCATTTTATCTACCTTTTAAAAATATAATATTGATAATTATTTTAAGCTTTCTGATATGATTAAGAACATTCATTATGATAAAAATTCAGCTTCCATCAAATTGAAAAATTTTACAATAAAATAAAATTACTGAACAGAGGATGCTGAAGATTTATAGAAGGATATATGTAATAAAGCCATTTTAAAAAAAGGAACAAAATTATTTTATCATAAATTAAAAAATGATTTAAAAGGAGCCTTATTTTTTAAATAAATAAACTTATTATCGAAAGGGGAATGACTAAAATACGCCTCCCCGAAAACTACGCACCTCCTATCAAAGAAGCTTAATTATATTAATATAGAATCGTATTTAGCTTTATAAGATGAGTTAAAAAATGTTTTTTTTATTTAAAAAAAAGTGGTAACATGGTAAAATTTAAAAAATATTTTTTTTTACATGACTAAACTACGCGCCCCCTATCAAAGAAGCTTAATTTATAAAAAATGAACCCAGAATTATATTTAGCTTATTAAAAGGAATCAAAAATTGTTAATATTATATTTTAAAACTTTTTATAACATGGGCTATTGAAAAACACATTTTTTTTGACTAAATTAAGCGTCCTTATCAAAGAGGCTTAATTCATAAAAAATTAAAGCATACTCATATTAAGATCATTAAAAGGAATCAAAAAATGTTAATATTAAGTTTATAAATTATTTATAACTTAAAAACACTTACTTCATTTTTTGACTAAACTACGCACCCCCAGTAAATATACAATTACTAAATTTTATAAAAGAAATCCTAATAAAGTTATAATCCCTCTTAATTTTTTTATCAAAGTTTTAAGTTATTCCTAAAATTTAGTTAAATAATTCTTTATTTTTTTTCCTTATTGGAATTTCCGTATTCTTCTAAATTTATCACCATTTAATTCAGGTTTATCTGCACTATATACACTTATTCTATTGTTTTACCAGAACAATTATAGTAATGTTATATCAATTTTTCTATAATTTTACCACTATTTCTTTTCTAATATCCCTATATCATATAGAAAAAATATATTTATAATTAATGTTTCAATGTAAATATATTCATCAAAATTAATTGTTAAGTTTCATTCCTATCAATAGACATACCATAATTTGACTTATTATACCACAATATTTATCTCTTTTACTCTTACTTTTTCCATCAATCATCATTACATCTTCTATTGTTGTGCCGCACACCCCAGAGTTTGAAGTTGAACTTGTAGTCTTTTGTTTTTTGTCATAAGACACCATTTTTATATTTGTAAATTTTATTCTGTACATTAATAATATCAAAATTAAATTAAAAGTATTTAAAATTAACTAATCATAATTAAAAAATAAATGTATGAAAAATAAAATGTCTTGAATTTCTTTTTTTAATTATCACTTCATATATTGTCATATATAACAAATATAAAAATTGAAGGTTACATATTTAGATCATTTAATTGATGAATTCGAAATTCACTAGACAGAAGATAAGATAGTTGCAGTAAAAAATTGGCCAAATGTGAAAGAATTAAGTTCGGTTCTTGGGATGGTTAATTACTATGAGTCATATATATATATAATTTGTATTCTGTTTGGACGCCTTTACACTGACTAATGAGAAAAATGCTAGTTGATTTTGGTGGCTCAAGTAAATAAAATATTTAATAAAGTTAAAAATATATTATAAGAGGGTACAATTTCTTTACTCAGCCAATGTTCCTGTCGTGATTTCAGGATAGTCTAGGAGCCTTGTTTGCTTTACTGGCCAGGTAAACCAATTGCATATGCTTCAAGAACACTTTCGA